ATGCAGGTGACAATACAAAACATACATTATTTCTTAAACAATGATAAACCGATTTTGTTGATTTTGTGTTAAAGCTGCGGTACCCAGCTTTGAGACCACAACATTAACTATGAAATACGATCCGCGTACTACTTTCTCACTGTATAAACTGTTTGGTTCCATCAATACTTTCCACATACATGTATTTTTGGCATAAATATAATCCCTGGATCAACTTTTCCAGACAGAAAAGTTAGAAACAGAGGACCAGCAACATTCAATCATCTCAGTGTGTAAAAGATCCGGTCTCCACAATACCTTGATCTGTTTGGTTCACAGAATATTGCATACAAAATGAATTTATGAAACAAAATAAATATGGGTACTCTAGCTTTAAACTGAATTTTCTTTTCAATGTGGCCACAAAGTCCATTCCACACACATTGCCTCAAAGCCTCCTCTGGCTTTGACATCTATGAAAACATGCACAAGGAGTCTTCAGTCAAAGCACTCATTCTGAATTGTTGTGTTCCATGCTGCCGGATTCTCCTCCTCCAAATAAAATTAAACACTGTTAACAATCTCTTGTTCATTAAATCGACACGTTTATCTTTGCAAATGTGATTAGAGCTTGTATTGTACCTCCCCCGGGGTCGACATCAGTGAGTTTCTAATTGGTACTTGTTAAAATAAATGCTTTGGCGACTTGTACCTGTTGGTTTTGATCACTTTCTGTTTGTAATGATTGAGTTTGGTGTTTCTCCTACAGGCACTTCCAAAAGCAGTGTGTGTTTGATGTGAGGGCCGGGACAGGGCCTTTGTAGACGGATGATTTGATCAGCGCAGACACAGCTCATGGCTACGGTTTCAAATGTTTCTACAGAGGACTCCCTGCTGGGCCTCTGTCAGTGTTGGATCCAATATTCTTTTATATATATATTTTTTTACGCTTGTGTCTGAATATTAAGCATATGTTTTTTTTACTGAGGCAGGCTTTTAATCATATTATTACATATTTCCACGAGTGAATAACATTCAAGATAGTTATTGTCACAGAACCACTGTGTTGAGCTAAAAGTACACTTTATTGTAACCATAGGAAAATTTGACCCATCCTGCAATGCCACTTGAGGCTCTGTCAGGAGCAGTGGTTGCTACAGTGCATTGACCAGGGAGCCATCTGCAGCTTCAGCGTATGGTCGTCAAGGCTCTTCGGTGCATGACATCTGTAGTCATGAAGTAATTTGAGCGCCTGGTCTTCTCTCATCTCAAGTCCTCCACGACGCCACCTGTAGACAACGCCATTAGCCTGGCCCTCCACTCCATCTTGCAGCATCTGGACTCCCCGGGGACCTACGCCAGGGTCCTGTTCGTGGACTTTAGCTCTGCCTCAACCCCATCCTGTCAACCCTGCACTAGGACAAGCTCTCCCAGCTCAACGTGCCCGATTCCACCTGCAGGTGGATCACTGACTTCCTGACACACAGGAAGCAGCGAGTGCGTCTGGGGAAGAACATCTTGGACTCTAGGATTATAGATCCACAGGGCTGTGTTCTTTCTCCCCTGCTCTTCTCCCTGTACACCAACCACTGCACCTCCAGCCACAACTTTGTAAAGCTTTGTAAAGCTGATCAAGTTTGTGGACGACACCACCCTCATTGGACTCATCTCCAACAACGATGAGTCCGCCTACAGGAGGTAGGTGGACCGGCTGGTGTCCTGGTGCAGTGGTAACAACCTGGAGCTGAACGCTCTGAAGACAGTGGAGATTATTGTGGAATTCAGGAAGAGCACAGTCCTCCTGAATTCCCCCACCCTCCCTGATGAACTCCCCCATCACCTCTGTGGAGTCCTATCGTTTCCTGGGCACCACCATGACCAAGGACCTCAAGAGGAAGCCGACCATCAGCTCCCTCATCAAGAAGGCCCAGCAGAGGATGTACTTTCTACGGCAGCTCAGGAAAGCCAAGCTGCCTGCACAAATGTTGGTGCAGTTCTACACGGCCATTATCGAATCCATCCTCACCTCCTCCATCACCGTGTGGTTCGCTGGAGCCACAGTCAGGGACAAACAGAGACTACAGCGCATTGTGCGCTCTGCAGAGGAAGTGATCGGCCGCAGCCTTCCATCGCTGCAGGACCTGTACGTCGCCCGAGCTCGAGGCCGGGCTGGTCGTATCACACCTGACCCCTCTCATCCTGCACATGGACTATTCCAACCACTCCCCTCAGGCAGGAGACTACGGTCCATCAGGACTAGAACCTCCCGCAATAAGAACAGTTTCTTCCCCTCTGCTGTTGGACTCATGAACACCATCACTGACCTTATGACTGTCACTTCATGCTACTGTCACTTTACTGCACGCTACCGCACTCTTAACTGTCTATTGTGTGCCGCTACTGCACTTGTAAACTGTAGAAATGTAGATTTTTATAAATGCATGCCTTTGATTTTACTCTGCTTTAACTTGTTCGCACCGAAAGCCAAAGCAATTTCCTAGTTTGTGACTTCTCGTTACTCACATGGCAATAAAAGGATTCTGATTCTGACATTGATGCTTGGCTTGGTCAGGAGAACCAGAGCTGGAGGATTATACCTATAGTGCATGTTTTAGTGGTAGGAAAACCCAGAGGAAACCTACACAGGCACAGGGAGAACATGCAATCTCCACTCGGAAAGGCCCTGTCTGGAAGTGGAACTGAACCAAGGAGCTTCGCCATGTATGGAGTGAGAGAAAAATGACATCTTTGAGGGTTCCAAATTGTGCTATACAAAACCTGATGCACTATTAGTATTGTTATTCTCTGATCTTGGTGGATAATGCAAAGTCTTGCATCTTGGTGAGACGATCCCCCAATTTCCTGGTCGACACATTTGACTTTCTTTTTTGTCATTGTTCTTTACTAATATGTTTCGCAATCATGACATGGCAGCTTTTTGGCACAGAGGAAGACAAGAAAAACATTGCTGAAAATGGTGAGATAAAGGCAGAGCCAAGTCCATACAGTAAACAATATTGGGTGATGCTAAAAGTGTAACATATATTTTAAATATCTATTAAAATATATAGCTTTCTGGACAGCTACTCCTCCTTCACAAAAATCCTTAACTATGTAACACTAACTTCATAATGTCATAGATTATAACTACACTGAATCTAATCTAATCTCTGTATCTGTCATAAAGAGTCATGCATAGGGAGTCAGTTTGCTGGGAGAAGTATGGTAAGTTGAGCACTATCCTCTCCTCCTTCCTACTTTATCTGTTTAGAATTTTTAGGATTTTGACTGTAGTTTGTTCATTGCTATTCACCCGTTGTCCCATTGTCTGTTTCATGGTACGATGACGGGATCTCTGAGCCTGGCCTCCTCCATCTACACCTGCGGACTGCCCCGCCCGACCCGCCTGGGAGTGCTTCAGTCCTGCACCGGACCTGTCCACGTTCAGCGGCCACTGGTCCACGTCCTGTAGCTAGCTTAGGTCCTGGATCATTAGCCTGTCCGTCCAGAGGAGCGGATCCCTTTCTCATATGGGTCTCCCTCCCTGTGGGTTTCCCTAGTTCTCCCCAAGGTTTCTCACTTTTTCCCACTGGGTTTTTTAAGAGTTTTTCCTTGTCGATGCAGGAGGGTCTTGTTGGACAGTTAGTGTCTAACAGAAAGGATTGGTGATGATCAGGACACTTTAGCATTCTACAACATGTATGGACATTTTCTTCTGTGTGTGCTTTATATTCTCCATGTGTTTTAACTGTTGATTCTCTGACCTGTGTTGAGGATTTCAATGGTTTTGTTAAGTCCTCTGAGATGACTTCTGTTGTGACCTAGGGCTGTACAAGAATACATTGTATTGTATTGTATTGTATGCAATACAATATGGGACTAAATATTGGAGACATAAAACATAGTGGTAAATATATTGCATTCAGTTACATGAAAAAATGTGTAGTAAGAAGAAAGAAAAAGAACAAAACTCAAGAAATCTACATAAAAGACGTCTTTTATGCTTCACAGCAAGAAGGGCCTTTTTATGTGGCGTTTGCATGTTCTTCCTGTGTCTGCAAAGGTTTCCTCCGCATACTTTGGTTTCCCCTACTAAATACATGTTCATTAAGTCTTGTATGCACCGCTCTGTGTGTAGAGTGAGAGACAAATGCCCTTAACAATCGTAAAGTGCTTTGCGACTCTGCTCTGTGAAAGGTGCTAGGAAATATTTACATACTATTTCGCCACCTGGCGTTCTAGGCCTATTAAATAAAGACATGTCATATTATTTACAACAATGAATGACTGCAAGGAGAAAAAATGTTTAAACCTGAGAAAAGAAAACATGTCTTCCTTTTATTTACCGAACATGCTTTCAAGCCACTCAAGTTCCACTCTTCTCGTCAACAGTGTCAAAATCCGGGGCGCTGCTTTGTTTTCCAGCCACATTTGGTTGTTTTGTCAGAACGTACCGATGCATTATGTATAAATCTTATTTTGTCTGGTAAAAGAAGAGAAAGAGGGTTTTTGGGCCAACTCTCAACGGAGACACAAAACTCATTTCAATTTTTAATTTGGGATAAATAGATCTCAACTTTCATGAGGAAGTATTAGAGGCAGAACATGGAGCATACCAGAAATTGTCATGTGAGATTTTTCAACTTGTGGATATGATTGAATGTACAAAAGGAGAGGACTATAATAAGCAACAAATCTGTCACCACCATGTTTACTTATTGTACCTTTTCAATCACCAAAATAAATTGTGCTTACTAAGCCTACAACTCATGTTTCAAAAGTGTACTTTTTAATTAGATTATAAAAACACATTTCCATTAAGTTTTCCAAAATTCAGCTAAGTTATGAAAATAAAAACCATTAGTGTGTAAGGTATTCTATTTGCCTTGGGCTATGTGTACGTGTCATCACTAAGGGACCTGTTAAAAATGTCCTCAGCCCTGACATTCTGCCACTGCAGCTGCTCTTCAGCCATTTCATAAAACATGATATTGTCTGTATGATAACACAGTGGCAAATGTCTAGTAGAGGAGACACTCCTCTGTGCGGGAAACCAGCAGTTGAACAGTGACTGCACGGGGACAGAGACTGCACGGGGACAGAGACTGCACGGGGACAGAGACTGCACGGGGACAGAGACTGCACGGGGACAGTGACTGCACGGGGACAGAGACTGCACGGGGACAGAGACTGCACGGGGACAGAGACTGCACAGGGACAGTGACTGCTCGGGGAAAGTGACTGCACGGGGACAGAGACTGCACGGGGACAGAGACTGCACGGGGACAGAGACTGCACGGGGACAGAGACTGCACGGGGACAGAGACTGCACGGGGACAGAGACTGCACAGGGACAGTGACTGCTCGGGGAAAGTGACTGCACGGGGACAGAGACTGCACGGGGACAGAGACTGCACGGGGACAGAGACTGCACGGGGACAGAGACTGCACGGGGACAGTGACTGCACGGGGACAGAGACTGCACGGGGACAGAGACTGCACGGGGACAGAGACTGCACGGGGACAGAGACTGCACGGGGACAGAGACTGCACAGGGACAGTGACTGCTTGGGGAAAGTGACTGCACGGGGACAGTGACAGTACGAACCATATCTTCTGGCAAAAGACATTGTTCATTGAGATGCAGGACATCTCGCGTTGCTAAAGCTTCTTTCCACAAGCTGTTATCAGTTTAAACAGAGCATTTTAAAGAACTTCTCACCCCTGCTCCTCGAGGCTTACGTCACTCACATTTCCTTTTCAAATCTTCCTCCAAATGGGCGTAGCCTGGAGGACTAAAGAAGACAAGCGGGGGTGAATGTTGGGCGGGTCTAGGCTGTGATTGACACGTGACAATAGTGACTAAAACTACAATATTCCACAACAACGCTATAAACACTACACAATTCTCAATAATACAAACTGCTATGCTAATAAAAACCTACCTAAATGCTACATAGCTAATTGCAACCTGACAATCGATGAAAATACTCTCTGCTATTCCTTCTCCAACTTGCTACGGGGGCTTGAACGAGACTGGGTCGTTTATACATCTCAGAGCGGCGGGGCTTCTGACGTAACGAGCCACTGCAGACGTCAGGTATCACTGCTGCGCCAATGTTGGCGCCAGATTCAAAATTCAAATGTAGTAAATACAGGTCGCCTGCAGATGGCGCCTCACTGACGGTATTAGGCAGAAAGTTGATCTTTCAACTAATTGGCACCAAAGTGACTAAATTATGACCAGGATATGTACACAACACTATTGGACACTCATTTATACAGTTTATCAGCACAAAAAAAAGTGGATTTGAGGGTGAGTTGTCCTTTAATGATCTTGCACTTGAATTGAAACGGATTTAGTTTATCGATTTCACAGTGGCAATTGTTTCCTGCACTTTTGTACTTTTTTCTTTACTTTTAACCTTTTTTAATGATGTTCTTCTCTGGTGCACACTGAGGCACATCTATTCCAATGTGGTTTCACTGCAAATGGCAAATAAAATGAACCTGAGTCTTTCCACAGATCTCACCTGTAACTTGGACAAGTGTCTTTGTCCACACACATGCCCTACCTACAATACATCTACAAGATATACGTAGGTCACAGGCAGGAGAGATGTGTACCAGCAGAAACAAACAGACAAAAGACAAACAAAGTCTTGATTTCATTGTTGGTGCATGTGATTTTCTTTTGGTGATAAAAAATTAATACTTGTTAAAGTTAAAGAATTTGTTCAAACAGCAAACCAGCCTCACTAATTAATAAAACACACACAAACAACACGCCACCTCAATGATATTGTGAGGTGGCGTGCTGTGAACTCAAAGTGGGTTTACTGCAGAAAAAATAATGTTAAACAGGTTTGTGGAAATAAACAGTGGCTTCAGTTCCTCACCAAAATTGCCAAAACTGCAGCAGAATTATTATCATCATTTCCTTCTCTAAATGAACAAAACCATAAACTCAACACTTATTGTGTGAGCAGAACAGCTCATCAGCTTTCAATTGGGAGGTTTAAATGCTTTCGGCTGTTTAATGGGAAAATGTTTTACTATGTTATTTTTAGGCAATACATACCAGCTTTTGAAGAATTTGACTTTTACAAAACCCTTGAATGTTCCAATGTGACGCTATGTCAGTTAGAGGTACAAACTTTTCTGCAAAGACATGGGGTTTGCAGACTCAATCTCGTGTCTGACTTAAAAATCTAGGACACACCAATCTGACGTCAGCCGTATGAAGGGTGTGCCCTGGCCCGTCACCTTTCTGAAGTCTTTGAAGCAATACATCTAAGGACTTGACTTGGTTATGGAGAAATTGGATGTTTCTACCCAATAAAATGGCCACATATAGGGACATATTTGCTCTTATCTTTGTTTTGAAAAAATATTTAAAAGAGTGGGAAGTAAGTCACTGGAAACAACAAATTAGCCCACCATTTTTGCGTAACACTTTGAAGCTTCATATTCTTTGACTGGTGGTGATTTTCAAAGGTTGCAATCATTCCATAAAGGGTTGATTTAACTCCTGCTGATCATAATAACAACTACCACCAAATATATACTCACCTGAGTGCATGTGTGTGTGTTTCGATTCAGCTGCATGGACCTGTTGGAATATGTTTTGTGTGGGAGCCAACACTGAGAACATGAACTTATTGTTACCTCACAATAGACGGCTAGATCCTGTGCTGTGATCATCCGCCCATTCAGCACAGGTGCCCTTAATGCCCATCAGAACAGAACAGACTTGTGTTCTTATGTGTCTAATCGTACAGTCCCCCTTGACACACGCGCTGGTAATTGAAAATCAAATCCTGGGCTATGCGGGACAATAGGTCACATGCCTGCTCTTACATGCACTGGCACACATACATTCACTAATGTGCAATTTCACATGGTGACAAAGGCCTGTCTCCCCGATGGCTCAGCTGATGTATTTGATGCCTGAGACGCAGAGCCAATTTTGGTCCATCCCTCGCGAGATTAGAGCAGAGTCATGCAGAATGACAGCCAGAGCAATGTGCCTCTCGTCAGTAAGTCCACTTTAGAATGTTGCCGGTGTTACAAAGTGATGGACAAGTGTGGGACAACTATCAATTAGCAATTACAGTTTGGAAGGCCAAGTGACAAGAGAGGGGCTTGTGAAAATTGGTTCTCTGAAAAGTAGCACCACAAAGTTAATGTGTTGCGTGTCAGATCTATTCAGAAATAATCGTTTTCTGGGTTAATTCAACATTTTGACATACATGTCCATAACTGGCTTGTCCCCGTTCGACCTACAAGACACTAATTTCACACTAGTTTCACATCAACCAAGCACTGCACTCGCAAAACGTCAAACGAGTATCAAAAAGCACAGCAAGAGGCAGAGCATTTAGTTACCAAGCTTCTATACTGTGGAATCAGCCCCCCCATCCATGTCAAGGAAGCGAACATTCAAGGCTATGCTTAAAACATTCCTCTTTGATTCAGCACATGACTCAGTATAGGTAAGACTTGTACAACTTGAAGTTAAAAAAAAAACACAGATTGTCAGTCAAGCTACATTATGGAGACACTTTGCTAGGAGAGGTATGGTAGCTTGAGCACCTCTCCTCTCCCCTACTTTTTCAGTCATCATTAAGATTTTTTCTGTATGCTTTTTTCTGTTCATTGCTATTCCCTGCTGTCCGATTGTCCGTTTCATGGCGTGATGGTTGGACCCCTGCAACCCCCTCCTTATAAGGGAGAATGTTCTGTTCTGTTCCTGGCTCTACAGCCTCAGTCCTGGTTCCACAGCCAGAATCAAGCACAGTGATATCCAGGACATTAATGGAAAATCATGGCATTTACATTGGTCAGCTATGTGTTTAGCATTGCATTTCCTGTGTCCGTAATGTTTGATTCTCTGATCTGTTGTTGTAAAGTTCTCTGAGATGACTGCTGTTGAGATTAAGGGCTCTGCAATCTCTTGTATTAAAAAAAAACATTAAGTTTAAACATAAGTTTAAACTTAGGAGTATGAAGTGATCTTACCCCTAGACTAGGAAGCAAAAGTTTGTCATTTAAAGTACGATAACTACAACTACTTCACCAATTAGAGATGTTGCTATAATTCGAAAAGCAAATCTTAATCCAAAACATAAAATATGCATTATCCTTGCCTGTAGCATATTCTGCGATTAAAACAATAGATTGTGATGTCAGACCCAGGCACATCTTCTCAGACAAGCTCCTGGTCCGCTTATTCATGAGAATAACCCATTATGTTCACAGCACGAGTGCCATCACCTGGCTTAGTGGGTAGGCCTCACAGCGGGTTTCATTCCCCAGGCTGGACTAGGGGCATTTAGTTATGCTGAGAAAGTTCAACTAACTGGAAATAGAGGAAGGAGTGCCAAAAGAACCATTACACCTAACAACAAAATGCTTTAACCCATCACACTGTGTGAGTAGTGAGAATTATGGTAAAGAGACAGAAAGTTGATATGCAGAATGTGTTACTGGAACAATCTATGGAGATCCCTACATATGTAGAGTGCATTAGTATTTATTCACAGTATGAGTAAAAAGTACAGGTACATACGATTGTACTAAATTGTTCATTCCCATAGTCCCACAGTCAAAGCCTAAGTTCCAGTTCCATATTCTCATATAGCAGTAATAAACAAGAACGCAACTGAGTCCTTGAGTTTCATTCAACTATTTTCCAGAAAAGTGACTTATTCGAGATGCGACTTGACATTTACAGTTTTTGTTTTCATTATGTGCCAGTGCATACAGACTTCTTAGAAAACTATTGATCACGGAGAGCACATGTGGAGGTTCCAGATGCTTTATTACTGGATGTGCACAGTATTTCTGTCATTTTAGTTAAATGCTCTGGTCTTAAAACTAGCCACTACAGAGAAAAACAGTATCCCAGTGAAAACAAAGGAGTAATAATGACTGTGAGCAAATGTTTTAACCAGAAGTCAAAACTGTTTTGAGGGAAGATTGCATATACACATTATTTTAAGAAGCTAGTGAGCGTCTGTGTGTAAAACCAATCAGACAAATCTCTTACACTTTGCTTTAGCTTGAAGTGGGATTATGTGAATAAATAATTTCAGTTGTTAACATGAATGCAAATATGACTGCTTATGTACTGTTCTGCAATGAGTGTTATACATGTGGTAGTGAGTAGTGTCTTCAATCTCTGTAAATCTCTGCCTTTATTTTTACATTATTAAAGGTATCTCAGGACATAGAAGCTATAAGAAAAAAAGAATGGAATAAAACGTTCTTCCATGAGCGTTTTTTTCCACCATTATTTCAAGCTTGTTTAAGCAGAATTGCGCTGTGGTTTTCAATGGGTACTGTCCATGGTTCTGACCTGCTCTAGAGTCTGTGGATGTTATACTGTTGTGAACACATAAGTGTGACCAAACCGATTCATTTTACTTAAATGCTTTGCTATTCAATGTCACTCCAATATCTCTTGATATTAAAACAATTATTTAAAAAAAATAATTTTAGAGTATTATAACAAACCATATAGTATCACTTAATTGCAACATTATTTTGCATATGAATGAAATCAACCCGTAGAAATGAGACAACACAATTTGAAATAACACAATTTGTCAACACAAGCAGCCCCCATTTCCACCCATGTCTCCAACAGCTTGTGCCATTATCTCACAACGTGTATATAAAGTAGGTGAACGCAGATGAGAAATTGAGAGATAAACAGCATATCTGGATGACAGACGTCAGCAGCTGGGCAAATGCGTAACAAGCACACACCTGGGGATTGGGCCTGGTCTCTGGGTCTCTCTGTGTGGTAATGTGCTCTGACTTCAGGCACACACATATTCCCCTGATACTAAGCCCTCCGACATGTGCATGTGGCAGGCGTGTTGCACTTTGTAAAATACCAAAATTACTGCTGTGTTATGGTGCATAGACTGTTACCATGTCGAGAATGACCATATATGTTTGTCACTAACAACTCTTCTATTGCTTCTTGGTTAAAGGTTTACACATCATCAGTTAGTACAGTACAAATAAGACTGTCCACCCAGGCCTCTTTTAGACATTTCCTGCATGTACAAATGCAGACAATAATAATGAATAATAATTAAAGGTAACAACTGTGTATTATTGAAATTCAAAAATGTAAATCATTATCAAAGTTGTAGATTTAACAATTGTAACAACTCTAGGCCGTGAGTAAGTAGCGCAGTTCCATTATGGTTCTGACTCAAACTAAAGGTCTAAAACTCGTCCATGAGGTCTTCATGAGGATGAGCTGTCCATGGTACTGAGCCGCTCTGCTTTACCACAGCTGCATCATGATGTGTTCTGTAAATGCCAGCTTTACTCCTCTTATACGCAAAAGGTAATTACGCGCTCACCTTCCACCTCGTCCTCGGGGAGGTTGACCGGGGCGCTGTACGAGAGCATGTCTGGGATGGTGCACATCCCCCGGTACATCAGCGTGGATGTCACTGGGTGCATCGGCATTTTGGCTGCGACCTTTGAGCGCCACCGGCGACCTCGTCATACAGATGTATCAAGAGAGAGGACTTCCCTCCACGCTCACAGCACTGTGAATCCCGCGCAGCTGTTCATGGATCAGGTAAGTAGAGGAGCGAGCACAGGGTTATTCCACTGCTCCCAAAACCCTGTGTGTTCAGCGGAGAGCAGAGGAAAATACAGGTGTTAAAAGTCCGTCAAATCCTACCTCATCGTGACTTGAAATAAAACAAGCAGAAGTCATTGGAAACTAGCCAGACGCGCGCAGTAAGAGAGAGCCCAACATCAGAGACCCCAAATGGCACCGACTCAGCCGCCGACGCCGACTTTAGTTCCCTCTGTGGCGTCTTTGCTGGTGTGCACTGGGGTTTTCCCTTATCCACTTGTTGGTTGTGCGCTTATGGCGTAGCCGTTCCTCTCCAGCAGCTCCGTGTAAGTCCTTAAAGACGTTGCGCACGGGAAGAGTGTGCCTCCTGTTGAAAATGTGAAACAGGTCTGTTCTCACAAGTGCGCTCGCAGTGTCTCCCACCCTCTGCGGAGAGAGGGGCGTTTTGTGAACGGCACTCCACGTAGGAGTCAGGACACGCTCTTATTGTCACGCTTCATTCGTCGATTATATTCACTATCTTTAACAACTTAAAACGTATAATGATTTTGATTTATTTTTACACAGTTTGGTGATTGTTGTGGATGTGATTAGTGTTATCTTATGAGCTGTTAAGGTTAATCACAGCATGACAATAATGGGGAACCTTTCAAGAGGAATTCAGGAGAGGACAAGACATTTATGTTTTATCATGTTTTAATACCTCATTCAATTCAGTTTTTTTCTTTATTTAAGCCTAGGTAAATACTGTATTGGAAAGGCCTAGTGACGTGATAACAGAAGACTGGAGAAGCAAGAGACATGCAGATAATGTATTGTTCAGGTGCTAATTTCATATTATTTAGAAATAGAAGTACACTGTAAGTACTCTAAACCCTTCCATTCTAGCTATAATGGACTTAAGCCGCCCACTTCACTCACAAGTGGTTACACGGATGACCACACTTTCTCCAAGTTTGGCTCCAATGCACTGATTTTACTTTTTCAACAAAAGCTTATTTCACGGCCAGCTAGTGTTATGAAGTGCAGTAGATTTTAAATATGAAACAATGGAATGTGTTTTACAGAGTGTGGGAGTGAGAGTTACAGGAAGAAAAAGGGAAAAAAAAGAATGTGTCTTTGAGCAGTCTGTCCGTGCCGAGGGTCTTTGCATCTCTGTGGAGTGTGGAGTGATTTTGTGGTGGCTGGAGTGGAGTGGGCAGAGAAATGGCAGTCACTCCTATGGTGTGCTTTCTGATGATAATGTGTCCAAGATCCATGTTCTATTTAAGATTGTAAAAAGAATAGGCTGTTCTGTGAGTCTTGCACATTTCAGTGGGAAGTCCATGAAGTGTGCCAGTGCCAGCTCAACAAGGCTGTCTTTTCTTTGTCCTATCAAGGGTTATCAACTAGGCTGAAAATACATCGGCCCACATTATAGACTCACATAACATGGAACATGGAACAAACAGAGTATTTTGTTTCAAAGTGAGCTAACACATTTCAGAGACTAAGGAAGGACATAACAACAGTAGACATGAGTGGGAGCAGTTGAAGAAGGTCTCGTGGGGGGCTCGAGACCTACAACCTTCAGGCCCAAAGGCCAATGGTCTAACAACTGAGTCACTGTGTGGGCGACAGTACATCATTATTACATAATGAATGTGTCTAATTGTGTTTCTGTCTTGTTAAACTGGATGATACAAACCAACAAAGAGTGTTGTTCATTGTGGGGCGGCTGCGGCTGTAGAGCGCCAAAGTGACATTCTTTCCTCGGGCAAGACGTTCGGTGCTTAGAATGAGTCTGCTGTGTGTGTGAGTGCATGTGTGCGTGTGCCTGTGTGTGTGTGTGTGTGTGTGTGTGTGACTGGTGGTGGTTGGAGGAGCTGGCTCATATTAGTAGCCTTGTTTGACATTAAGTACAGATCAGCTGAATATGGGGTGAATTAATAATGCCAAAATAAAATTCAAACTGTAGGAAAAACTAAGACTTAAATGTATAGTTTTTTTATATGTAATATATGTTTTTTATGTTATTAAATATTCATCACAGTCAGTACGTCGGCCTTGTCCATCAACTCAACACAAAGAGATGATATAAAGTGTTATATATTGTGAGAAAAGGCATTGCAAATGTTTTCTGCCAAAGACCAGGTGAGATCTGAATCAGCTGGATACATCCCCATAGTCTGTAATCTTTCTCATATTCCAAAACCTTTCAACATTTTACGAATTTACTCTCACAGAGAAGGGAGATCAAATTGTGGACAGGGGAATTTAGTGTCAGCTGCTTAGCACATGAGTGGGCTCTTCTCTAGGAACAGCTGGACGCTCCACAGACCACATGGTGACCACCTTCTATGACCACGGAACAGTTCACATAAACAGCTCCACAGGAGGAGAGTGTGAAGGTCAAAGCACTTTAGAAATCCAAGTGCCGCCATGAGCTCAGTCTGAACGACACACGACTCCTTTGTCACCACTTAGTGTAACGATTGCTCCCTGTGGCCTCTGAGCTCAGGTTATGCTAACATAAACAAGCCTCTGCATGTGGATGTGAAGTCCACAGTCTAGACCAGACTGAGTTTGAAATTGTGTAATCTCATCCTTGTCCAAGAGTGATCCAAGAAAAGTTTCAAAAGTTTGATCTGGAAGTTGTTGTTTTTTTTATCATTGTGAGAAATTCTTCAACTCCTGTCGTTTTTTAAATCTTAGAGATGGTTTAAGAAGTCTTGAGTCTGTTCTAAACTATGACAAACAAGAAACATTAATATCACATGCTTGTAGTTCATATACTGTAATAATGGGATGTGTGTGTGTGTGTGTGTGTGTGTGTGCGTGTGTGCGTGTGTGCGTTTGTAGCTCTCACATTAGTTACAGAAGTAGATTTACCATTTATTTTAATTGTTCTTTCCTGTATCGTTGAAATGCTAAACGCGAGATACCTTACATAACAGAAAAACACTATCCTCTGTGGGTATTTTTTGTCTGCCTGTAAATGGTAAGATGGGGGACACATTATCGCAGAGGGAGCCAGTTTGAGTCAGATAAATAGTTGTGCAGCAGTAGTTTTGAAGCCAAATGGATGCAGCGATTTGAGAGTCCAATATTTCTCTCATTAAAACTCGCTCATTCTGCATGCACGGCCCTGCAGCGCTCTGGCAGACGACTCTCCCTTCATCTGCTCTTCACTTCTGCTTCCAACACGCTAAATTACTAATACTCACCCCAAAGTCGCCATGTGGAGGCACGTTTGTACCGACAACTTCATCAGGACGCATCACAAAGACATTTCAACCTTCGGAACATGAAAAAAACTAGTTCATTAATGGTTAGAAAATGTCGTATTGTTTTGTCATGATGATTACAGGGAACTGAAAAAGACATGGAGTATGCCTCAATTTGTCCTGATTTTAACACCTGCTTTGTTAAGATTGGACTAAAATGAGCATTTAAATATTGTTAATTCAATATAAAAAAAGAAAATATTGTCGATACAAAATGTCAATACTCAACGATCAAACTATCCAATAAAAAAATCCATCTTACTAATTCCTTCTCCTCAAAATAGTTTGGTTCTGTCCCTAGTTTTCACTTACATTCATTGTTGGCATCTGTCACTTTATAGACAAACGGAATTTACACGTCACTTTTGGCATGAATAGGATCACTGTGCAAAAAGAAAATGTGCAAAACAACAGGAAATGTGCAATAGAGGTATTTTATGCAGTGCAAGTTTTCAGTCCTTTTGAGTGTGTTCACCATATTTTACTTTTTCAAGATTTTTTAATTTTTCTGTTGGGACAAACAACATCATGGAAAGAAGTCTAAGGTACCCCATGTTTTCACCTATTGAGTCAAGGAAAGCATTTACAATAATTAACATTATATCAGCATTTCATGTTAACAACATTTGAAGGTATGTTTTCACCCTGCTCTTTTCCTCACAGCTCAGTGAAAACACTCCGAACAAACGAAGAGGGAGTTTGGACTACAAAAACAACAGCATATATACAGGCTGTTGCTTTCGTGGGAATTTGGTAGAGAAGGTCAAAATGTACACAAGTTGCATAATGAAAGTATGACAATTTGCTACAGTCCATTAAGATCCAAAGTCCACCCCGGACTCAGGAGCCGCACCCCCCTCCCTGCCCCTGGGAGCCTCTACAGCCCTGCAATGCACAGCCTGAGTCCTAGACCTACAGCCCGAGACTGTGTTCTACAGCCAGAGGTCTGGAGCTATAGCCTGTCTTGTCTGTGGGAGTGGATCCCTCTCCCAATATAGGCGTAATTTTTGTCCTGACTCTGGGTTATTTTTTATTTTTTTTTGACCCTGCTGATGTAGGAAGTTCTAAGTAAATATCCATGGCTTCGATGCGTTTGTTATTTTTGCATTTTCTTGGTACGAACTGTAGGATTCTCTGATCTGTTTTTGGCGAATACAAATCTTTTTGGAGTCTTCTGAAATGACTGCTGTTGATATTGAAGGCTATGCAAAAGCAAATTTAATTGAATTGAAATTGAAGAAAACTGATTCTCCAGATTTATGAAGTCTGAGAACAAAATGTCGTCATTTGTATGACCCAGTTCTGCACGGTTAGACTTTCAATCAGAGCAACAAGAACAGATTGATAAGATAAAGAGAAGAAGATAATGTTTGAAATACATATCTGAGTTTAAATGAAACATTCTCCGTCTGACCCCTGTGTTTGGATGACACTTTTTGAGAAAAGATTGACCAAACATTCAAATATATGTCCTGATCTACTGTTTGTCTGTGAGAACATGCACAGTTTGGTTTGAGTGTCTGCTGCCCTCCCTTTGGTCCGATCCTTCTCACCCTGAGAATAAAGACAGCATTAGGGATGTCCTTGGCTATCGACCACAGCACTGAAACATATTG